GTGTGTGTGTGTGTGTGTGTATGTGTGTGTGTGTGTGTGTGTGTGTGTGTGTGTGTGTGTGTGTGTGTGTGTGTGTGTGTGTGTGTGAAATGTAAACTTTGCAATTTGGCCTTTACATTCCCCTATAGGACAGGCAAACAAATTCATTTAAAAAGTCTCAAATACACACAAGTGAAACCATGGATTTACTGCTTTGTCTACTGTGATGCATGTGATCAGTATGCATTCAAGCCTTTACCAGCAGACGCTATAAGAGAGGGGAAAAGCTTCCATGATCTACACCCATGGATGACTTTGAGTTATATGACCTGCGTAACATGTTATATGGTCTGCTTGCTACCTGAGTCTCAATCTAATAGTGGAGGGCAGCACATTACAGATGTGTTATTCCCCAGTGTATACACACACAAAGAGTCAAAAACAAGCCTGCTACCAGGATAATATATATGTATGCATGATAGCAAACACAACCTGTCTCTTTATCAGCCACAGATCAGGCCCCATTAGACTCATGCCTTACTAGCAATTAGTGTGCTGATGTACTGCATACCAGTGGTGCTTACAGTATCTGATGGCTGCAGTTGTATGTAACTAAAATTAATAGTGCTGCAGTTTGGTTAGTAGAGTTCAGATGGATTTTAGTATGTTCCAGCTGGGTTTTTGAGTGAAAGACCTTACCTACATTTGTGTGTGTGTGTGTGTTCAAATATCTTCTCTTTTTGATCAGGTGGTAGTCCATGACTACATCTGGACAGCAGAAGACCCCTTACCCGGCTCTTTCACACCCAGTAGTGATGACCCATTGAGGGAGGGTGCACCCCTACCAGAGACTAGCACACATGTGGTGATCTACACCCTGTACCAGAGTGGGCTGAAACAAAGATACAGACACTTCCTCCGACAATCGGACGGAGCTATCATTGAGGTGTGATATCAACATATTGCATACAATATTTTTGTAACAAATATATTCACTTTTTCATTATACCATACTATATTTTTTTTCAATTCATCTGGACTTGGTTCTGCATTAAAATACACAGATTTTCACCTATAAAATTTAGGGCTTTGGACAGGTCTGAATTGAAGAAAATGTCAAGTGAACGTTATCTGAATTTCAAATAATAGCAATTTATGTCTAATAAACCACATTTACAGACATTTTCCAGCCAGTTAAACAAAAACAAAGTGGAATATTTTTTTCCCTTGGGCAAAATCTGATTTTAAATAATTTCATCTTTTTTAACAAAAAATATACTTGCCCGGCAAAACAAATCAAAACTTATTTAAACATGTGCATGTAACTATTAAAACTTACTCAACAAAACTCACCTTTTTCTCCATCTCTTCAGCCTGTAGCAACCTTTTACAATTTGTATCATATGATATAAATCCTAGTACCTGATCCTGTTCAACACTGTGTCATGACTTATGATGAAATGTAATTCCAAACTGCAAAAAAAGGACACACTGCTTATATAAGTCATTTTGTCAGCCCCCCAAGAGCAATCTGGACCATCCCAAAAACATTCATATTTAGGAGGGGTTTATACAGTATATGCAAACAATTCGCTCTGAGGCACTGTTGTGTTCTTATTGTTCTTCATAATTTGAGTGATGGTCAGCTTATGTGAGTAAGTGAGTAAACATACAGCATAGTATGGTGTCACACTGTGTGTGTTTGAGTGTGTGTGTGTGTGTGTGTGTGTGTGTGTGTTTGTGTGTGTGTGTGTGTAGCCTCTAGACCTGTGCAGATAAGACATCTAGGGAAAGTTGTATATACAGAGCATGCAAAAATTGACACAGGCATACACACGTACACACACACACACACACACACACACACACACACACACACACACACACACACAAACAGCTCTTTAACTCCCACAAAAAGAAAAATACACAAATGCAGATGCCTATATATATTTACTACACAATCTAGACACACACAGTCTCAGCTTACTAAGTAAATTCCCGACACTGCAGCTGTGAGAAACCTTTTCTACCCTGCCAAATCAACATTAAACTGTGAAGGGAGCTTCATAGAGGCCACCTTAAATGAAAGATAGGTGTTACTATGTGAAAAACACACACACACCATGCTCTATCTTTATATTTCTCTCTATTACTCTCTTTTCTCACACACTGTGTCCCTTGGGTATTGATATCTGTCCCTTGTAACATAACAGACACGGGCCTCCAGTTGCAAAAGATGCCAGTGGCATCCTCTTTCACTCTCTGCTATTGGGAGCGATAACACCAACGCACAATGTCGCCGAGAGAGCACCATGCCATTCCCCTTCGCCTCACAGCATGGACCCCAACTTTACACATTCAAAAATAATCCTCCCATGAATATATAGACTGGGTTTATGTATAGATCCTGGGATCACCAAAGGGCATCTCCAGTACTCCGAAGAACACTTGAGCTGATTTTATTATTGCTTTATATAATTCTGGCAGCGATACACAGACTCCAACTGGGTGCTGTGTACAAACTGGCCTTCAGATGTAAGGTGACAGCTCCTCTGAGAGAAATAACAGCCAAGCAGGCACTTCTACAAAAATTAAATAGCTAAAAAATATAACAAGAAAAAAGAAAAAAGGCTGTACTATAAGATGCAGTGACCATAGTAATGCATAGAAGTTCCCCTCTATGCTTAGATTTATGACATTGTAAAGCAGTTTTATGGGTTTTCTGTATAGGCTTATTACTTAATTCACTTATCTGAATAACAGCATGGTTTATGGTGATGTGGTTACAATAAGCATTACGTAGCATGATTTCTGTAATCTTTCTGTAATTCTGAAATAAAAATGATTGCAGTTGGTTTTACTTTAAGCCAGATATGCTGAGGTATATTTGAAATTTCCAAAAAGGCCTTTTTGTAAAATATCAACATATTACTTACTATGTAACATACAGAACAGGTCATTTCCTTGTTTTTTTCTCATTGTTATCATTAGTAGAAGAAGTCTATAGTTTGAGCTTTGTTTTTCTGTTTTGAAATCTTGATCATCAATGTAGATGGTGCTTCAAGCAGCAGGATGACTTTGACAAAAATATTTAACTTCATTTGACTATGTAATAATGTAACTCCATTTGCTCTCCCAGTTAGTTAAAAGGGTAATCCTGCTACTTGAAAAAGTGTGTTTCCATTTACTGAAGGAATATTGACGGAGAGCCCTGTTTTCACAGGCAGTGTCTTGGACACCAATGCCCCCAAGGACTTGCTCCTCCCTTAGACTAACATGACCACAGCTCCAGGGGCCAGCAGCTTTGCATAATACCCACTAATTTACACCCAAAATTTGTCTAAACGAACACCTTAAAACGCAAGTCCTGGAAGAAGTGCCCTGAGCTATAGACACTGTTAGACACTGTTTGGAAGGAACAGAACAGTGAGGTGTGTCCTGTTTGATTTACTAGAGAGAGAGGCTGAGCGAGTCTTGAGAAACTAAATATTTCTATTGTTTATTCAGCCATTATTGAATCAGCTATATTGACTTAAAGTTTTTTTTTGCTTCTTTCTGTGTTGCATCGTTAGCTAGAAATAAGAATGAAGTTTGAAGGAGTGGGAGTGTAGTAAAAAATATAGCAATAATGAAGTCTTTAGTGACTTGCATATTGAATTCTGTTTAAAGAAAGTTAATATTAATGATCCATCATATGCTCTCATTCAGTCTGGTGCCTGAGGCAGGCATCTGTAATATTGACCACAATGAAGGAATCTTCTCGCTGAATCACAACAATACAAAAAGTTAAAGCTACGTTCCCATCAGTTTGCTCCAATAAAAGACATTACAGGTAAAGTGAGCTGCAGCATTTCAAATACTCATTACCTATAAACAGATGTTCCCCAGCTGCCAACTCACAAAATGCACCACTGACAACAACTGTTATGCAGGAAAATGCATCTATATAACCTAGGACCTTCACAGAGGGCCTCATAACCACTCTGTCTGAAGAAACAAGATGGCTGATGAAGAAATTAATGCAGGCAAAGTCATTATCTTCCCTCCTAAAACCACAGTGGGTTTATGTCCCCCTGTGTCGCTTTTTCTCCCGGGCTAGCATTTAAGTGTCGATGGACTTATGAAAAGAGAGGACAAGCCAACTGTGCTCCTTTTGTCTCCTTCTCTCCATATGGGAGCAGCAGCATATGCAAGAACTGGCTTAGCTTCTGTAAAACTTCCATTAAAGATGCACAACTAAGGCTCTGCCAGCTTGAATATTACCTCTCTCCGCAAATTATTTATGGCTCGGAAAAAACGCTGATGATGAGCATCTCCAGCGACTTCTATAAATAAAAACACTTTTCTCTGCAATTTCAGCTCTGCTTATTTTTCCCTTCCTTTCTTTTTTTTGTAGGATGTGCCTGACCATTTGTAGAAACAAAAGGTATGCAGTTTACTCACACAGCAAGTTTTAAATTGTATTTTATTTAATTATCTTAATATCACCAGGGATGGAATGTTGTATTATTTAGTATTAGTATATATTTTTACAACAGTGACAAAACTGATAAATATGATGATAATGGTGATAATAATTTTACTGTTAATGATTCTAGAGAGTGAGAGATGGAGAGCAGACAGATGCAAAGTTGGAAAAAGCACCGAGGATTGCTCTTTCAAATAAGAGACTCCTCTTCATGACGATATGCTCTCAAATCTCTCATTAACAAGGAGCCTTTTGTCTTGGCTTTCCATGACTCAGCCCATCGTCCATCTGCACATGGCGACAACTCTTTTGCCGGACCAATATTGACCTAATTTAGCATGTAGATAATATGAAGAAGTTAACCTTTCGGAAAACACCTTGCAGCAACATTAATTGACAAACCACATCAATTCTCCCTCCTATCCCTCTTTTGTAATTACTCTGCCACACATTTGATTGCCGCTGCGGAGCTAAGGACCCACGCTTCATTTGCCGTGAGGTCATCAGCAGCCCTCAGAAATATGAATATGATTTATACAGGGAGTGTGCTCTCTCTCTCTCTCTCTGTCGTTCTCTCTCTCTCTCTCTCTTTCTCTCTCTCTCTCTGTGTGTGGGCTGTCTTTTCTGGAGTGGTATGTGTGGCTCATGTGGTATGAGAGACACACAGAAGGAGAGAGGGAGAGGGGAATGTCCTTGGCTATGTACTGTATGTTGCATGAGCAGATTAATGCCTCCCTGGCAGCCATGTCTGCTTAGCAGGAGGACTTCTCCAAAATACACCTCTTGTAATTATCTGGCCTGTTTATACTAGTTTTAGACAAAGAAGCACTCGGTGGCACATCTTTTAAGTTTGCTCAATTGTAGCTCAATCTGTGTAATTTGCAGCTTTAGAACTGCCAGCGTACATTTTTGACAAGACTACTTGATGTTGCTTTGAGGAAACGTTGAGCTGAAGATGCGTATAAAGAATGCCAAAGTATTTTTGACTCAACCCATAATTGCATTAAGTTTTTGGTTATTTTTTATGTAGCACAATTTAATTGCATTTATTTTCTTCATATATTAATGGTAAACCAATATTATGTTTATAGCACTTCATTTTATCATGGGTTATAATTGAAAAGCAAAATTTATATATATATTTATATATATATATATATATATTCATATTTCGAATCTCTGTACATAAGTAGGCCAAGTTGTGAAAACCGTTTCCCCTCCGGGACAAGAGGTAGTGTGTCATATAGTCTCCGTTTCTGCTTCTCCTCCAAGTTTACTCTAAGCACCAGGCAGAGGTAGAGACTATGCATGACAACACCACCCGCAAGCCTTGAGGGAAATAGAATTTCTTCTGCCAATCTCAGTCACTGTCATCCAAGTTCAACCTGTACTTTGAGATGCTTGATACCTTATGGCCCCAGAGTCTCCTGAAACACTTGGTTTTATCATTGCTGTGCTGTTCAATTACTGTTAAGCTTCCATTCATGTGCCTGGCTGGATGTCGCTGACTGTAGCATGCATGGGATTTCTTCTGAAGGTGATTGGTGACATAGAGGGGGTGCACAATGCTTCCAGGATGGTTTCCTGCCCAGTTAAGGGCTCTTCCAATCAGAGGGAGGGCAAGGAAGGTGCAAGTGCTCCACACCAGCTCCGCAAACGGAAGAAACTATTTGGCCGTGAGTGTTAACCTGATCACCTTTACTATGTTTCTTTACATTTTAGTCACCAAATTTGAGAGCACACAAAGATAAGTACACTTTTAGAACTCCTTATCTCACAGACATGTGATCCCTTTACCTGTACAGACCTTTCCTACCTGCTGTTTGCTAACAGATTTTACACCGTTTCATCGGGTTTTGTTCCCTCAGGGTCCCATCGTGTTGAGCCAGTAGGAGGAAGCGGGTGTGGCTTTAATTTTGCACTGCAAGACCTGGACCAGTAACATCAAAGAAAGGACAGAGCTAGTTGGACCCTAAACTGATGTAAGTTATTTTATCAACCAGCCGTTTGACCTAAAGACTCCATAATATAAACTTTACTACGTATGTCGAATATTTTCTCTTCTCTGTGTTTGTGTAGTTCTTTGTGAGAATTATATAATTTCATGACTGAAAGAAAATGCTTAATATAGTCAAAAAGGTATATGTTGGAACCCAAAGGTTGACCCATCAGAACAACCAAAAACAATGCTGTAAATGATATTATTTATGCATCCTTAATAAACATAAATAGCATATGTGAACTGATAAGCTCTATGTAACCTAATAAACAATGTTCAGCAGTACTTCTAGAATGTGTTGTAATGTGTGTTGATAGGTATTCAGTGTTGCCTCAACACAATGAAAAATGAAGATTCTAAAAGTCACTTATCAGAACACGAGTGATAAAATATCAATATTGATCTCACATTAAGCAGGATAATATTCAGGCCAGCTTGATTTGTATTGAATATGTGACTGCTAGCTGGTACTCAGTGTAATGAAGTGGCTCACAAATCAGGCCATAATGACCACCTACTTACACATATTGCTTAATTAAAGGTTGTGAGCTTATTAGCATGTGTCTCTGGCACAAGGCGCAGGGAGATGGGGATCAGGACTGATGTCATTCAGGGCCAGGCTGTAAAGATTTTATAGATAGCTAACCTATCATACTAAAGCTGTAGCCCCCCTAAAATCGGATCTTAATAACCTGTCATTTTCATTGATGATGATTCTCTTTTATGGGTAGCCATTATAGATCAAGTTCTGGGTCTTGTTGGATGGAGATTGTGGCCATTTGTGCTCGTCATTATCATGAACACACCTTACTTTGGCCTTGAAGTTGCTCCTCACCTCTATGTTTAAACCATTGACAATCATAAGCCTGGGGTGTGGTTCACAGTGCATATGGACACACATACATAACACATTCTCTCTCTCTCTCTCTCTCTCTGTCTCTCTCTCTCTCTCTCTCTCTCCCACACACACACACATACACACATTGAACACACATGTTTCTGATCCATGGAGGTCTGATAGAGCCATTGGCCTTTGCAGCCTTTAAAGTCCTCATAAAAAATAAAAGAAAGAAGTTAGTTGACATTTTTAGTTTTATCAGTCCATCTATGATATAAAATGAGGAAAATACTGGATGTCTCAGACTCTCATGTTGCAATCTTCCCCTCTGTCTGCCTTTGACGCTAGCCAGAACCTATAGAGCTAATGCGCCCCAATTAGAGATCATTCCATTAACAGTGACAGTGCTACACCCCCCAATTCAATCAGCCCCCTAATGAACATTAAGCAGAGATGCTGCCACTCAGAGATGACAGGAACCTCTTCTCTCTCCATTTGTCCTACCTTACTGGCTGTATTTTACCCAACTCTTTGGATTTCTTTTTGCTTACTCTGTCTTCCTGTCTGTAGTAGTTTATATGCAACATGATGCTGCTTTGATACAACTGAAAAGCATAAATATCCCACTGGTCTTCTACTTGTTTCAATATTTTATTATTAATACGTTTATATAAATCTATAAATTGTGATGACTGTCTTTTGTTTCTCTCTTATGGGACATTTTCTGAGAGTATCACCACCTTTTTGATTCATCATCAAAACAAATCCCTGTGTGATATTTTCCAAATGAACGCAGAGGGTGCCGATGCAGAGGGGGCAAAGGTATTTCAATGGTTCAAATATTTGATTGTTAATGACAAACACCATTTCACTATAATTTAAATTTCAAATTGATCCCTGGGAGCAAGTATTTCTGGGGGAAAGAAACATGCCGCTAGGTCTCGGCTCCACAATTTGCTGATTTAAGTTGAAAGAAAACCTTTTTGCAGAACTATCATAAGGGAACTGCAGTGCCTGCATTTGCTTAGAGCCAGCCCAACCTGGGGATGTTGCTGGAGAGTGAAAGTGAAACATAAAAAGAAAAAAATAACACTTTGTCTAATTCTATATTTATGTAGCCTTCAGCTTGAGGTATTCACATAAAACAGTTTGTACTGAGAAGTGCTGTGGTGATCGTTATGCTGCATGTAGAGATGGGCAACTCTTCGGGCACAGTTGGCGAGAGCAGCTCAGCCTGATTCATTTGAATTAAAGTTACCCAACTAAATAAAAGGGATTCAACTTTCCACTTTTGCTGCTTCTTTTACTTTTGAAACCTTTTTTGTTTTTTTTCTTTATATTTTGTCTTTAAGGAAACCAAAAGCATTTCTTTTGATGAAGTTTTGTATATTTACTGTCTGTGCATACATGTCCGTATTTTCTATTTACCTAACTTCATTTATGGCACCATTTTGTTAGATGTTGAAATATAATTATGTCTTGTAGAGGTTGAAAGAGCTTGGTGTTCTGATCAATGAGGTCCGAAGGTATATTCATATTTATGATATAATATATATATATAATTTCAGCCTATGTCTTTGCATACACTTTATAAAATGTAAAAAACTGTAAACTATCTCATACTGTGTGCCTTTTGAATGTACGTACCAAGTTTTTTTGTTTGTTTTTTTTGTTTGGTTTTTTTTTGTTGTTGTTATTGGGTTTTATTTTTATTTGATTATTTTGATGATATTTTTTTCACCTCAGCTTTAGGTTCAACCAAACCAGTCAGATGAAAGGTCTAATTCAGCAACAAGTTCAGCAACACATCTATTGATCATCTCTTCTATGACATGAATTATAGTTGGTACCCACTGTGTGTAACATACACACCAGTGTTACAGTGGCATTTATGTCACTGTGGTAGAACAATAATATGCAAAACAGATATACATTCCAGTCCGCCGTTTTTTCTGCAAAAGTTGTATTCTTCTCCACTGACCCCGAACATGATTTCCTGGTGCTTAAGCCGTGGAAAACACACGCGGTCAGGGTGTGTGATAATGTCTACATCGTGCCATATTTCTGTGGCATCTGGACAGATCATGTGCCTCTCTGCACACATATTTATTTATTTTTCCTCATCCAGAGAACTGTCAGGGAGGCAGATGTCCTGCTCACAGGAAAAATAATTTGCAGTGAAAAAAGAGGGTGAGGGGGGTTGGATGGGAGTGAAGGGGAAAATATATGAATATGCAAATTTTGTCACAGTGTGGAACCTTGTAATGAGTGGGAAATGTTGTCGCCATCTTTCATTATGCAGAGGTCATTGCTTAATGCAAGTCAGCTGGGCCCAGCTTCTTCTCTCTGTGTTTCCCCCAACCCCTTTTGTCATCTCACAGCAACTTGAACCAAACTACAGCCTGGCATGAGTAAACACTGAGGTCACGGACATAAACACACACACACATACACACACACACACACACACACACACACACACACACACACACACACACACACACACACACACACACACACAGAAGCACATGCACATGCAGACACTTATATACATAAAACACCTGCATAATGCCGTTGCTGAAAGAAAACCTTGTAGTTTAAGTTTGATTCTTTTTGTCACTACACTTAGAGGGTTAGAATAATTCTTGAAACTCTTTAGCTTTTAAGACACACTTACTGGTTAAATAAAATATGCATTACTTGTATTTGCTCTGATTTGAGTATACACTATACTTTCAGAACTTTGCATACCAAATCTCAGTGTGCACACTGGTTCTGTGAAAATGTAAAGAAAAATTAAAAAATTGACTCATATGTATCCACCAGGTATAACTTGTATGGATGGTTGAATTTTAAGTTTAAAAGTAGGCACAGTTTATAGTTGTTGCTGTTTCTTGCTTTTCCTTTTTATCAAAACCCTTTCGTGTTTTGTAGATTGCTGAGACAGCTTGCTGCTGTTCTATCTTCTCTTTCAACAGCTTTCCTGAAATTTCCGCTGGCGTATTCCTGACATTGAGCTATGGGGCTAATCATTAGGTAAACCAGTCTCCCTCTCTCTCATGCACTCTTCAAATAATCCTGGGTTTGAATGCTAAAAATGTAATGAACTTCACGGTTCATTGTGTCTGACATTGCTTAATTAATGGGTGCATTTAAAGTACATAGGGCCCCAGTAATTGATTTATATGCATGATTTGCACATACAGCTGTTGGTTCCTGTAGGAGACTCATCACTCAAACAGTGGCTGTGCTGATGATAGGCTGGGTAGGTAATATCAGGTTGTTCTTTATGCCAATCTAGCCTTGGTAGTATTAAACCACTTCATATTTCCATTGGGATGATCAAAAACTACAAAAAATTTGGCTTTGGCATTTTAATATAATGTTTTCAACCAAACATTTATTTGGTTTATTGGTGCTGGAGAGCCCAACCAGAGGCTCTGTGCTACTGCAGCCCTACTGAATATTCATTAGGTAACAAGACACAAGGTCCAATATGAAACTATCAAGCAATGAACATCCTTGTTCAGCAGACGATGTTCGGTCATTAATGAACATTTTGAAACTTGAAACTTGAACTTGAAATCGAGCTAATTCAGAATTTGGAAGAAGTCTTTGTATGTGGTCATTTCTCATTTCTTCTATTGAAATTGGTACTATGGTGCTATGTGTATATAGATAGATAGATATCACAGAATCTTAAAACGGTTTAAGCAGAGTCAAGGACAGATACACAAGCACACTTTGGCTACAACTGCAAAGATCTCAAGGCTATCCTCAATGTGCATGCTTAAACGTCCAAAAAATGCTGCTCCCTTCTCTGCTTAACAGCCTTTGTCAACAGGACACAGTCACTGTCTTCAGCAGTGGAAAGACTCACCAATGTTAACTCTTTTTTTGCTTCTATTTGTATCACTTTTTTTTTGCCACTGAAATAGTTTTTTGCCCTCTGGACATCCTCTCATGTTGGACGGAGGGTTAACTGAGAGTTGAAGTGATTTACTATCAACTGAGGTACAAAGTGGCTTATGAGATGGGACAGGGCGTGGCTAGCTGCTTAGCATGCTAAGTTCAGTAGATGTCTCTTCAACACAATACATAGACG